AAATTAAATATCAAGGGAATGGGATATGTATGGCAAATAACAGGGTAACACATGAAAGTTAGTAGGAATTATAGTAAATAATCTTTCTTTTATTTTATTATTTGTTTACAGCCTAGCCTTATGCATATTTACAGAGATATAAGCACTATATAGTGAATCAAATGTTTAAGCATGCACAGGATTGCTAACTTAAATGCTGCTATTTGTACAGTTATTTATACAAACAATGCCATTTACTATATTTATGCTATAGTTATTCACCATTTTTTTACTGTTGGCAGTGTGTGAGAACAAAATTATATAAAGATAGTAATATGATGCAAACCCAAGCAATATAAACAAACACCAGAAGAACTTATGGAACAACATAACATTTTGATTAAACATACCAATAAAATTAGGATTAAGCATTAAATATTTTGTTTCATGAAAGCAGATTGTAGACCAGCCTTTTTCAAGCTTTTTATTCCAGAGAAACACTTGAAATTACTTTTAGGTCTCAGGGGAACCCCTGCATAAAAATTCACAAAAAATACAAAAGCTTCCCAATTCAATTCACTTTTAACCTACACAATCCATATCTATATAACATTTACGGCAGCAAACCAGCAGGTTGGCAAGCAACTCATGGTGCATAAAAATTCTTACCACTCTGAGAACTAATACTGTATGCCATGCAAATTATGAGAGGGAGGGAGGGAGGGAGGGAGGGAGAGGAGAGAGAGAGAGAGAGAGAGAGAGAGAGAGAGAGGGGGGGGGGGGAGAGAGAGAGAGAGAGAGAGAGAGAGAGAGAGAGAGAGAGAGAGAGAGAGAGAGAGAGAGAGAGAGAGAGAGAGATTTACAACAGGCGGTATATAACAGTTCATAATTTTCTTTTATGTAATTATCTTAATATGAAAATAAACCAAAATGTATGAATTGCTCACAGGTCACCTGAGATTTAAAACTATGTCTTCCACATGTAAAAATATTAACGAGATAAACAAATGCATTTGCAATGGTGTGGGTATCTCTGTGTAACAATGATAGAATTTTACTAATTGGTTCTATATACAACCAATTTGTTTCATTTCTAATTCAAAATATCTACCCCATTTAGGTATTTTGCCTAATTACACAATAAAATTTTCCATTTTTCCTCTCAGTAGTGACATCGCTAATGAAAAGGAAAATGTACAGCATGGAAATGACAGTAATGAAGATCCTTTGTCCAGTTCCGAAGACGATTCAGGGATAACACCGCTTAATCTTTCCAAGAAACCAGATGCAAACTTAGTTGATACACATACGTATTCAAGCACTGTCCAAATAGAAAACCAGAACTGCATGGAACTGCAGGAAATGCCTTTGAACCTTTCAGTGAAGGACAACTGTCATGTAAACTTATGTCTCCAGAACTCATATGAAACTAAAGATCATAACCTTCAAAAGGCTGAAACTAAAGATTTGGGGATAGAAATATGTAACCCTAAGAATCAAACAGACAAAAGTTTCTTCAATAAGTCTCTTACTGTGATGCCTATAAAAGAAGAGCAGGAACCAAGGACAATTGAGAGTTGTGATGAGCAGAAACAAACTGCAGCCGTTGCTCTCTGTCAATTAGCTTCCTACAGTCCAAGTACAATTCCAAAAGAGAGCGCAGAGAAAAATAAGCAAGAGAACAATTCTCAGTATGCAGATTCCATTGCTGAACCATCAGAAACCCAGAATAATCATTGTAAAAAAACAAAAGGACAAAAAAGGACCAATCACAGAGAAGCAATAAAAGTACAAGGAACCAAAAGAGTAAGAACAAATGAATGTAGTCGAGTGTTCACTTTGAGAAAGAGAACAAGGATAACATAATATTGTTCCACCAAATACGCAGTATAGCTCATATGTACACTATCCAACAGTACCAATTTTTTTCAGTACTAATTTTTATTTTTACTTTGCAGATTCTTTATTCTATTCAATTGAACTGTGTAAATATTAAAATCTCTTGTATATACATTTTAAAGTAACTAAAATGTCTCATAGTTATATCTTTTTTAAGTGAACATTTAAATGTAAAACTGAAGCTAAATGATAATTTCTTAAATGCACTATTGTAGAAACATGTTTCTTAAATGCACTGCTGGGAAAACAATTTATTCCAAAAATAGAGCTTCTAGAAGCACATTCTGGATATAAGAGTGTTCTATTGTGTCTCTGACTAATTTCATTTTCAAATCTTTTTGTTTTATGTTTTTTGTTGTCCAATGTATTTTTGCTGTTTTATCAACATTCTAAGGATGAAAATTTCCAGTTGCTTAAGCTTAGTGTTATTGAATTCTCATTGATAATATATTAGAGCACTCATATTAAACCTTTTTAAATTACAGTTTGGTATTGTGTTTTTCCCAAGTCGAATGGTCCAAAATAAAAATGTTATGGTCTAAATTTTAGATCCTAAATTAATCAAATTAATTAAACTTTAGTACTTATACAAAGTAGAAGTCCTACACAAATAGCTTACATGTTTGATAAACTGCAACTTCAGGTCCCAAGTACTAAGAGAAATGCAAATCAAGAAATTATTTATTTCAATTCATATTAGAAGGAATCCCATGTTGTGAATTCTATATTTTGCATCCATCAGTTTGCAGCACTAAATAAATTGTATACTATAGGTATTAATGAACGTTTCATAGTCGTTAGTAATGATTTTCCATTTTACATGTTAATTTTTCCTCTTTTTACAATAAAATTTGTATATTGTAGCAAAAAATAGCTTGCAAAGAAACAAACCATAAAGGGTACAGATAAATCTTAAGTATCATTATGTATATTCCTCAGAAAATTACAACTTAATGTATCTTTGTAAGTATCAGTTGTAACAATGTTTAGCTGGGGAGAAATACAGATCACTCTATTTCTGATTCATGCCAATGTTGCATTTGTTTGATATTTATTCCATTTCTGGTGTAAAACTACATTTTTTAAAAAATGCACAAAAATCAAATATGTATCCTAAAATCTGTATTTAAATGTTATTTATGTACATATGCTGAATATTTTCCAGCAAAATATATCTTTCTAAGTGTAATTTACTGAAGTATATGCATTTTTAGTATATTTCATCCTAAAATATATCTTTCTTTCTTATTATATGTTTACCATCAAAATTGCAAAATTCAAAGAAGTCTTTGGAAGTGTAAGTCATAACAGTTCATTTTTCCTTTGATCAGAATTGAAGAAAAGTCACATTGTTCAAGAATCCCTGTACTTATATAGGTTACAAATGAAATGTATAAATAGTATGACCATTATCCAGAGGTATTAAAATGTCAAGCCTTTAGAGAACTGGCCATGTATGATAAGTGATTAATGAACATTGTATAGGCAGTTCTTATTTAATGATGATATTTGGGACTGACGACTCCTTCATTAAGTGATATAGTCATAAAGCATAATGTCACATGACCAGACCAACCTTCTACAGCAGGCATGTCAAACTTGTGACGTCACATGACGTCGTGCAACGTATCGGGCCGGTTTTGCCATTGCCGGCAATGGGGTGGGCGCGGCTTCCATGTGACGCGTCCGGCCGCGGCTTCCATGTGACGCATCCAGCCCACGGGCCGGCAGTTTGATACCCCTGTTCTACAGGATTGCCAGTTGAAGTTGTTAAGTGAATCTCACAGTCCTTAAACGTGACATCTTCTGATCACCTTCTGAAACCTTCTGCTAGCTTCCCCATTAACTATGCTGCTTGTAAGCCAGCAGTGAAGGTTGCAAATAGCGATCACAGACAACAGAACACCTTGATATCCTAATTGCTAAGCACCCAAATCACGATCACTTGACTGCACAGAGACTTCAATGATCATAATTTCAAGGACTGGGTGTAAGTCTTCTTGTAAGTCAACTTTGAACAGTCATTAACTAAGGCCTACCTGTAACAGGAATAACTCTGAGGAAATTAGGGCAGTTTGATTTAAACAAATTGTCAGCAACCAAGATTGTGCTAGACAAGCTATGGGAAAATGTGGATTCAAATCCTTTTTGGGGGACTTCTTTGGTTATGAGGACTGGCATTTGTACAAATCCAACTTCAGATCTTGAATCCAATTCTTAAGTTAACAAAAGACATAGATGGGATAATTGGAGATTATTCAAAAATAATAAGTGCTAGCAAAATAATATTTTAGGAGAAACTGGAGGATGGTAAGAGCCAAGTTAGACATTCAGACACCGGAGACTTCCAGTATCATGCAAAATCAACTTTGAGGATACATTTTTGCCAGGCCATTCAGTTACTTGCAGCATGGTTGTCAATATGAAACTGAAAGCACAGTTAATCCACATTTTATAAATATTTCCCAATTTTCCCAATATTAAGATCCCAGTCAGGTATGTTATTTATAAGAGGAACAGAAAGAAAGCAACCCATGTGTGCGCGCACCCACCATCGTGGTAGCGCTGTCGTGCGGATGCTAGCAGCCCCATTTACGCAAGCACAGGAGCTAGCACCCTGCTTGCGCAGGTGTACAAATGTCAACGCCACTGCCAGCGCCAGTGCAAGCGGTTCACTTGTGCATGCATGTGGATACTAGCACTGCCGCCGTGTGTGCGCCTGTTTACGCATGCACGCGTACACATTTCCCTTCTCCTCCAGGCCACCAACCCGGAAAGGTTGGGGAGCTCTGCACTAGACCAAACTGGCTCTCTTATATATAAGACCTAGTCAAGCTCTTGGTATCCCACTTCAACAGAAAGCAAGATTCTCTTAAAATTTCTGAAGAGACCAGAATAATATTACAAAAATCTACAGAAGTCTTTTACTAAGGGAGACAGCTAGTGCTGTCATTATCTTAAATATTAAGAAAGGAACATCCAGGTGGCCAGGATATACATTTCTTTCAGACTCTGAAAATACAAACAGCTATTAATTATTAACATATAATTCTATCAAATCAAATCTAATTTTATTTTGAGGGGTTTTATTTTTGGTTCAGTTCAGTTTAGAAAACACTTACCATCTGATAATCGGGAAGGTAGTAACAATCCTCTTCTTCCCAATTCAGCCAGTGCCAAACATCCACCATGCCACGCATTATCAGTTTCCTGAAAACTGCAGTTTTAGAAAACAGGATTTTAGGATGATTTTTCTTAATTCTGATTTTAAATGTGTGCCAAAGAAGTATCTTACATGGTGCTGTGTAATTGTGTAGCAAAACATAAAATCAAATAAAATTTCCTTTAAACATGCCACTATGAATCAATCAGACCATAATCCCAAAGTGATATTGCACTTTCCCCCTTTTTGCAAGTTGCATTGATATACATTAACCTAATATTTAAACAATTTGAACAATAGTTTTTTAAAAAAATATTTAAACAATTATCTTTCTATGCTAAATAGCAGAGGTTCCCAAACTTTGACACTTCATGGTGCTGTTAATATTTTTATAATTCTTTTCCCAACTCTAGGTCTAAACCATGAACTATCTCAAGATAGTAATCTGCAATCCTGCGACATCCATGTGATTTTCTTAAGGTGCCCTGGCACAACAGCACAAAGTTTAAGAACTAAGTCTCTACAGAAAACTGACACTATAAGAGCCTGAATCCTCTTGGTCCTCAAAAACACAGATTGAGATTGTGAACTGAAACATTATTTTAATGGGGAAAAATAAGATTCAAACATACTAAAAAATAAGTATCAGTTTTAGAATAAACCAAGATATTAAACCAACATGTAAATATGATTTAATATTTTGGTGTGTTCAGAACATCAACCTGCTTCTCAATCAAGAAAAAACAGGTTACCTATCAAGAATTGTGGATTTTCAGGTAGAGAGAATGGTGAAAAGAATTACATCTCATTTCTAGCAATGAACTGTTGGTCTGTGCTGTTTGTCAAAAAACAAAAACAAAACACCATTTAGATTGTGATAAAGGGGAAAGGAAGATTTCAAGCACCAAATGCGCAGCATTTTGGAGAATCTATTTTGGAATCTAACTTCTATGTTTCTTCTTGATAAATGTTTTGTGGATAAAATTTCATTTCTGAAAAAAACTGAATGCAAAGTATTACCTGAAGCAATCTAATACAGATCCAACAACATCATCAGCTAACTCTTTTGGCAGCCTTCCAGTTAACCTGCCAATCCTGAAAAAAGCAACAGCACTTCATTAAGATTTTCAACAGTCTATATTTGCCATGTTCATCATAAAAACACCAACGCTCTTGAAATTTGAGATTTGTAATTTTGAAACTCAAATCTATAAATTCTGTAATATATATTGATCCAACTAATCTAATTTCAACTGAATATTAAATAGTTGATTAAATGTATCTGCATTCTCTATAACATAGGCGTGCCAAAGCAGATAACCCGTAACATTTAATTCTCCCATCACCAGATCAAACTCCTATAAATAAATTTCTGGTATGTTCCTATGCTACGGTCTCTGATGCATTTAGAAGAAGGCAAGACACACATCGGGCTCCAGTAAATCCTTATATTATTTACTGTAATAATGTTCTTATTTTATTTATGGATTCTGGATTCAGAAATATAAAGAAATAGTAAATACTAAATGCATTTTTACTGCTTTGGAAATCCTTGCCACAAAATGAATACAATCCATTTTCATTTAAATATATAGAGAGATTGTTGTTCAACACTAAACAAATGCTCATAATAATTTATTAAACTTATAAATCGCCCAATTCTCAAACACTATGGGCAGCTCATGGCAATCAAACAAATTACAATAAAGAATGTGCATCTCAATGTAATTGTTTCCCAGTGTTTAAGAGTAACTCTTAAGAGGTTTTGGAAAACTGAGGTGGAGATAACATGAGTACTGAATTTATTTATTTGTTTGTTTGTTTGTTTGTATGTATGTATGTATGTATGTATGTATTTTTATAACTAATGAAATTGGCTATAACTAATGAAAAATAACTACTGAAAATGGTTTCAGTATTTTTAAAATAGGAAATGGTATATACATACTCTAAATAAAGTACTAAATAAATAAAGCATATGAACAGACACTATAATTTAGAATATAATTCAGACATGAAAAAAGTAAAGATTGTAACAAAGATCAAATGAATCCGTAAGCAAGGCCATGTGTTTTGCTATATTAAACAGGACATTTAATAGCACTGTGTTCCGTATCTTTCTAGTTACCAATATTTGCAGATTAAGCTGTGTAAATCAGTTTAACTCAAGAACACATACCCTTTTGCTGCAGACCATCTGACGATAGTATCTTTGTCTTTTAAGCCAATCAACAACTGCTCTGTGAAAACATGTTTTTTAAAATCATAACACGAATTAAAAGCCACCAAACATTGTCTTTCTCTTGGCCCTGCATCAATTTTAGCTTCATTAGGATACATCTCCAAATCTTACTGGAGTGATGAAGATAGTGATTTGTTCCTAAACATGATTTTGTAAAGAAAAATCATGTTCGTTTGTTGGTTCATTTATTTTACTGGATCTGGCACAAAAGTCTAAATAGGTCTTTAAAAAGAAAGAAGATTCAATTAATTATGCGGGGAAAGTCAGAACGGGGCATGAAAGGGAGGGACTCATAATTCAAAACAATGTCTAGAACAATAACCAAAAAGCACAAATAACAAAAGTACAATAACCTGCACAAAGTATTATTGTTAGCTAGCTTTAATTAAGATAAGCATCAAATTAATAATAACAGCTTCAATAACAAAGAGCCAGTGTGATCTAGTGGTTAAGGTACCAGTTGGAAAGCAGGAGACGGTGAGTTCTAGTCCCGCCTTAGCCAGGAAAGCTAAGAGGAAGAATCAAAAGTATGATGCCCAGATATAAATAATATTTTTTAAACTATGAAACAAAAGTAACATAACACTATTTACATTATTTCCTACCAGATAACATAAGGGATTGTACATAAATCAATAAACCATATTCATAAACTACATTGGTCAGGATGTCAGATCTTACGTTGCTTTTGCTCAAACATACCTATAACATTTTCAACCTCTCCTGGAATATCATATTCCTCTTCTTCCTCCTCCTCCTCTCCTGTGTTAACTGCTATATTTTCTGTTTTCTGCGGAATGAGACCTCCAGTGGAAAACTGTAGATTTGCAGCTAAAGATCGGAATCCCCGTTGATACCTGGAAAGGCAGTTTCACTTATGGTTATATTTTTGGCAGAGAGCAAGCGCATTATCTACAAAATATCCATGAAGTAGATTTTAAAAATGAAGGTAAAATATTCTGTCACTGGTGAAATAACTGAGCTGAAATTTCACTATTCAAATCTTACACAGCATTATCTAGAAGTAATTTCACCAATAAAATACCTATAAATTATTGTTTATTAAATAGAATGTAAATATTTATATTTAAATGTGAATATGTTTAAATATATAACATGTGCAATCTAAGCTCAAGCTTTGGGGACATAGTTTATAACTTAAGAAATACAGTGTTGTTTTTTTTAAATTATTCCTCAAGCAAACTACCTAACGTTTAATATACTTTAGTAATTAGTTCAAAATACTTGTTCATTCTTTCAGCCAGGGGTCAAAAAACACTGACTATTCTTGTATGGCCTCGAAGAATTTACAGGTAAGGACCAGATCCCCAGGACCAAACTGAGCTCCCAGGGCTGAGGGATGGAGCCAAAGGGCAGGGTATCCTGGATAATGATGTCAGACCAATACCATCCTTCCTGGCTGGTACGTTTCTTTACTTGCAGACCCGTCAGCTACATCCACACTTACATGCCCTTTATTCTTACTATTCCTAGTAATGCAATGTGTATTTTAGTGGGAAGAAATTTTTAACAGTCTAATTTATGTTTTTCAGTACTGGTACTTTCGTTCAAGGAGGCACAAAGGGAAGAGACATCACAGCTTTATGTAAACTTTTTAAAATAATACCCTATCTAGGATTTGTTTTTCTCCATTAATTCTAAATTTAACTTTGAAAGGACCATTTAGCTATTAATGTGAATTAATAATGTAATTAAAATTATAGAGGAAAAAGAAGCTTATACCTATAAAATGCCAAAGTTCCTACAAAATATGGCTAAACCAGAACTTCTTGTCATCAAATGAATAAGAGATGATGTATTATTATCTACTCCTATTAATGATAGATCTTACAACTCAGATTAGTCTAATAAAAGGAAAGAAGGCAAGTAAAAACATGATTATGAAAAGAACAAACCTCCACTTTGCCACCTTTGGCTTAAGAAATGTCAGACCAAGTCGCTGAACAAGTTTCACTCCCAGCTTGCGAAGAATTGTTTGGTTACTTTCAAAGAGCTTGCAGTTGTCAAGACATTCAAGCACAGTAGAAGCTATAACGAATAAATTTCTATATCAATAAATATATCCAGTTTTGTCCACTATATAATACATTTGAAACACATATTAATTTTCAGCAGAAGACTATGAAACATACACTCAGCTTTTAATACCAACATAATAGATAAGTTATGAAAAAAAAAGTTCTGACACGTAAGACATTTACACTGCACTGAAGTTAAGTATTTGGTCTCAATGCTATAGTCCCCCACTAAGACTAACTTGATTTATTAGGGGAAAGTATCAGTGCACATTATAAAATAAAACATTTAGGCAACATTTCAACTGAGTCCACATTTTATAGCAGATATAAACATAACCTACTGGACTCACACTTTCCTTTTTATTGATAAACTTATGACTATAATCTAACATTATAGTGCACTTCAGGGTGTCCACAGCTTGGGGTTACACCAGTGAGCTCAAAAGATTTCCTGCCCACCTTATTTTTTTTATTAACTATTAATCTTTCAAAAAGAGGAAGTTAGCATACTGACAATGAAGTGTCAGTCTCCTCTGAGACTGCCTTTGATCCTCAAATAGATGCTATCAAAGTGAGATAAGTTATTAGGTACAATATTTTTGAAGTGTTCCCCCTACACAGAAACAAAGTTAAAAGTTAAAAGAATAGGAGAAAATGCATCCCCCCCCAAAAAAAATCTGGTAAATGGATGCATTCCAATTGATTATATTGCTCAGCTATTTTGTTAATGAGCATCCCACAAGGCCCTCTGCAGCAGCATTCAGAATATGTGCACAAAAGGCCAAAAGATTTGGGAATGCTTGCCTAACTGTATAGTGTGTGTGTGTGAGAGAGAGAGGGGGGGGGGAGAGAAAGAGAGAGATTAATATACAAATTACTTACTATAGAAAAACACCTTAGGTTTTAGACTATATTTTATTCTAAAAACTGCATATATATTATAAACTGACAGGAAAAAAGGAAAAAAATAATTATTTTTTATATCTGCATATAAAGGACCTGGTATTCTTAAGCGTAATGAGTTCCTTTGTAAATTCCAATATAAATTGACCAGTACTGCTGAGCTCTGTTCAAGTCCCTCATTCCTATTGAAAGGGGCACCACAATTCCCTTCCATTTAACTGTATCCATCCCAAAGTCAATCTCCAGCCATGGATGCAGGCGAGATTTTTTATTTTATTTTTATGTCTTCAATAAATAAATAAATAAATAAGTCACTATACATATTAAACAGAAAACTGTTGAGATACAAGAGCACTTGGCAGGATTTTATCCATAGCTGTCTTTCTAGCAGACTGAATTCTCAAACTTGATCTTCAAATGAGTAATAGTAGTAATAAAATAATAATAATAATAATAATAATAATAATAATAATAGAAGAAGAAGAAGAAGAAGAAGAAGAAGAAGAAGAAGAAGAAGAAGAAGAAGAAGAAGAAGAAGAAGATAACAAAATACAAAGATCTACAAATAGAAATAGAAAGACTGTGACAAAAGCAAGCAAGGGTAGTACCAGTAGTAATAGGCGCCTTGGGTGCAATCCCAAAACAACTGGAGTACCACTTGAACACCATTGGCATTGACAAATTCGCCATTAGTCAATTGCAAAAGGCGGCCTTACTAGGAACTGCTTCCATCCTGCGACGATATCTGTAATACCATCAAACATCCACATCTGCCTATCCCAGGTCCTTGGTAAGGACTCGATAGGTAGACAAAATGCCAAATCCAGTCTGAACATCTGGCTGACTGTGCGATAATCAATAATAATAATAATAATAATAATAATAATAATAATAATAATAATAATAATAATAATAATAATAATAATAATGTTGGAAGGGACCTTGGAGGTCATCTAGTCCAACCCCCTGCTGAGGCAGGAAACCCTATACCATTTCAGACAAATGGCTGTCCAGTCTCTTCTTAAAAACTTCCAGTGTTGGAGCATTCACCGGTTCTGGAAGCAGGTTGTCTCTGCCTTAGACATCCTGTATTAATATGCAAATTATTTTCAGATGATTACAGTAACCTTCTAAAAGTTTTGGAGAGGGCACAAATGACTGGTAAAATCAGTTCCTTGTTGGCACCCTTGTACAAGACACCTCTACCAAATATTAGTTAACTCCTGTTGGGCTGCATGCCATATTATCCCAGATGTTCTACCTTCCACAGAAGGTTTTGAAGATACCGAGAGAAGGACAAGGTTATTTCTAGCTGTGGTTCTCAGGATCCCACTCACTGATTTTAAACAGGGGAGTAAAGAGAAGTGAAAAATCCTCACACTACAACCATCAGAAATTTGTATCGTGCTCATGTTTTGCTCATGTATGTTTATGCTACCACGAGTCTTACCATATGGTAAACAATCTTCCCTTTTGCCATGTTTGAAAAGTTGTGCCTAAGAAAAGTAAAAGAAAAATATATTACTGAACAATTGAAAAACAAATATTAACTAAAATTTTAAAATATTAGTATCAAGAAATAATATTCCAGGATTTTCTCTGGCATATTATATTAATTATATATTAAATTTTACCAGAATACATAACTTTAACATGTGTGCGTGATCACATTAAAGCTAAATAAAGGGCCAGGCTGATATTTAAAACTGGTTACATCAACCAAGAGTAGTTATACCCTCAAATGCATAGACTTGCACAATACAGAAACAAAAGTTTCTTTGCTTAAAGTTTAAAACTGGAGAGACAGAGCAATGTAATAATGTGCAGTGTACTGGATGTGATTATAGACAAAAATCAGGAACATCCACTGAAATAATAAAATAAAATGTAAGATGATAAAATGTAGATAACTGTTGTAATGGAATGCAACTAACCGAACACATCCTTATAGGAAGATTAGAAAACAAAGAGTGGGACAAAAGTAGTTGATGGAGGGGAAGAGAAGGGAGGGGAGGGGAGAGGAGTATCAGCTTGCAGGGAAGGGTAGAGTAGAATAGAAATTAAATCTTTGGTGATCATTAAATTGGAACTAACACACTGTAAATAAACATGAAACTAAGAGAAACACTTTGTAAATGGCATTAACAATCTTCCTAGCTTGTTTACTATTGGCTTATCTCTTCCTCAATAAACCGTAAATTCACCATAGCTGAAACTGAATATTTATTCACATATTATTATCTAGTTTAATGCCTGCCTTAGTATATATTTTAGAATTCTACTAGTTTTGCATGATTTTGCAAAAAGAAGGTAAACAGATACAAAGTTGGGCATAACTAATGTTCAACAGCGGTTAGCAGTAAAGTTACTCTAGTATGCGAGAACAAGAAGTCCCTATGTTCTAATTCATAAAATAAGGAGTTGAATACATTATAGAAAGCCATTCAAAATTAAATGCAAGCTATTTTGCAATAGGATACAAAAGTTCCAAGAAAACAATGAATGGATCTTGACATTCTATATCTTCTTCACAGACTTGGTAGACTTTGATCTTTTGCACACCCATCCACCATCACCAGATGTTGCCATTGTGGATATGGATGGGCCTTTCAGCCTGCATCATAATTACAGTGCTTGCTCTGTTATGGGGTTAAGGAGGGACTATGTGGAACTTTTAGGTGTGATATTTGGACCGCCAAGTACCTTGAGGCAAGTGGGTTAGGGATGATTTGAGTTCCTGGTGTCAGGAGAGAAGATGGATATGCTTGCCAAGGTCTGGAAAAGAAACATATTTGAGAGGGTTGGGGTGGTGGAGCTGACGGGAAAAGTAGGGCCTTCTCTACCTTATCTCCCTCTCATGGGCTCAGGGAGATATGGCAGAAATCCGAGGGTACCTCACATGGGGACATTGGGCTGAGTGCTTGAAAGAGATCCCACTATCTGCACCTGTTTCTATCCTCAGTGCCTGGCAACTGGATCCTTGGTGGTCCTGGACTTCAGCTGTTGCTTATGAATGCCAGGTTTGTGTATAATAAAGCTAATTTCATCTAGGATGATATCCTGGAGGAGGGAGCCAAGCTGGGTCAGTGGGTGGGGTTGTCCCCACTTGGAAATGTGCCCACCCACCTTTTAAGTTCTGCACTATCCAAGAGCAGAGGGAGGGGAGGAAGTATAGCAGTTGTCAAGAACCCTGCTGGCTTCTTTATTGAAGTTTTGGGGAAATTGGCATAGAAGATTACGACTGGTGATTACATGATCACCGTACATTAGTTGTAAGTGCAAGTGCCCAGATCACAATCACATGACAGTGGACGCTGCAGTAGCTGTAACTTTAGGCATGGGACATAAGTCCCAGCACCATTGTAACTTTGAACAGTTGCTGAATAAATGGTCATAAGTTGAGTATTACCTGTAAAGTTCTTCTTAACTGCTTAATTTTGTCAACCTGAAGGATGACTAAGGATTTGCTCTTCTTCCTCCACACTCTTGATGTTATTTCCATAGGGCATCTCGATTCCCTCAGTTTTCACTATTTTTACTCCATTAATTATAATGAGGACACATTTATCCACTCTAAACTCCATTACAATAGCTTGGCTATATATTTGTACAGTGTTGTCAGATGATATTTTTCCATACAGCTTCAGATTATCTATTTAAAAGAGGTGGGATAGCCTGGCACAGGTAGTCTGGCATATGTTTCTGATGTCTGATAGCCATGGCTGTCTTGTTCAATACTGCTAACTGAGGAATCAATGTAATGACTAAGAGTAGTGGTAATACTGAGTTTCCTTGAAAGATTCCCATCTTGAAGTTAACCTCTCCCAGTTTATTACCAATGATTAGCAATTCTCCATTGCGTCATTGATCTTTGCACAAAGCTTTTGGTTTTTCTACCGATTCCTATTATTTGTAGGCACTTGATTAGCCAATCATGTGGCAGGGAGTAGAATGCCTTCATGTCATCGATCTAAGTCACATTCAAATTGATCTTCCTTCTCTTGCAGTTTTACAGAATCATCGTGTAAATTAGGATCTGATCTTTTGTTCCTCTGCTGTTCGGGTAGTTTCCTTTCTGCTCAAATGGAAACAGCTTGTTTTCAACTAGATGCTGTTGGACTGCATCAACTACCATACCAGTTAGCAATTTGAAAAGTTTGGTAAACAAGTAATTAGCTGGTATTTGCCTCATTCCACTTCTTTTGGTGGATCTTCCGTTATCAGGTAGGTTTTGCCAGTTGTCAGCCAATCTTAAATTTCACCTCCTTGTAGTATGATGTTACACTGCTAGGCAATGAATGGATGCAGACCAGTCAGATGTTTCAACCAAAAACCACGCAGTTCTTATTCACTTGTTGCTGACCAATTCTTTATCTTACTTGCCCTTTTCCCATCTTTTCTGCTGTTGATTACTTCTTTCATTTTAGCTTCTTTTTTATTCTTATCCATCTCCTTTATCCAATTTGCATTTTTGTTGTATTTCTTTGGTTTATCCCATAGCTACGCCTAGAACTGCATTGTTTCTTTGTCAGGTGTTAATTGATTCATTCTAATCTCTCCATTGATGGATTGATAGAAATGTTTCTGATTCAGCTGAAATTGGAGGTTCAGCCTATGCTGTTTCTTGTTTAATTTTTTCCCAGTGCTTCCTTGATCTTTCTTCTCTCTAGGTGACAATTCTTGATCAAGTACTCTTTGATCTTTTTGTTCTTCAGCTTCTTTTATTTATCTCTTCTAGCTAGCTTGCATCTGATCTTAACATGCTGGTCTTATTTCCCAACCTGATCCTCCATTTTGGCGATTCACTGATTGGGATTTTTTAAAACAAATTGTTGATCTTGCATCCAAGATCTTCAATAATAACTGTAGCTGTGCTGTACTTCAGTTGCCTTATTTCTTGCAGCAAACTAGTGCTTATATTTGATAAACTACAGTATTGGTATCTCTTAAAATGTGCTAGCTATTTTTTGTAACAAGTTTCAGTGCAGGCAGCCTTATTTTGTTGTTTTTGTGCTGTTCTAGATGCTCAGTTATTCTTTGTTTCAATTCCTCTTGTTCTTTTAGTTAGAGGGCTCTGTCCTTTCTGAGGAGAAGGCAAAAGAGAGAATGCCTAGTTTGGAAATGAAAATAGTTCAGAAATGATGCTGATTTATATACTACCAATTCCACCTAGATTGTCTCTGTTGTTTGAGATTCCTCTGGCAAGACTTTGATTTCTTTGCCCTGGTTAGATCTTTGCAGTTTTTTCCAGTTCTACTTTGGTATATACTTTATTTCATATTCTAAATTGATGCTGATTGTCTAGCCTTTGTTCTGATTCAGGATGTTGTTCTTTCCAGAACTGGTGCATTCTTTTCAGATATTCTCTTCTCATTGGACTTGATTTATAATAGCAAATCATTTTTCCTTTGCTTTTAGTTTTTGTATATTTGTAACGGGTAAGCAACTTTTCTTTCAGTAATCCTGCAGGTTGCTTACACTCTTTGTTTAGCCAACAGTCCTGAGTCCTATAGCTCACATGTCACTAGATGTCCAGGAATTCCAATACCTTGTGCATGGTCCTTATTGATCTGGGCAACAACGAATCCAATATAGGTTTCTGTAAGTTACATCTCACCATATTGTTTATGGCAGAGACAATCTTCATTTGGCTCCTCTGACAAGACCTGTCAAGTATGGCTGAATCATTGGAATAGATCTCATCTTCTTCAGAGTACACAGCCCCACAACCACATCAAGGTAATGCCTCAATGGGGGATATTATTAGTATAATTCCTTAGATTTTATTTTGTACTCCTAAGGGGCAAGATGCAATCTGAATTCATAACATATTGTACTATTTAAGTTACTTAACAATCTTACCTTATTTTATCTAGTTAAACTATAATTAAATGTAAATCTCATGACTCTGCTATGAAACACAATAACTGATGTCCACCCAACTTGCACATTTGTAGTTACACCCAAGAATCTTGCACAATATACATCAACTCAAAATAATTATGGCTACTATTTGCAACCCTGCACTGGTTAACATCTGCTTAACCAAATCCAATGAGGACACAGGGCAACTTAAAACCAGCTTCAGAATCTCTGTATTAAAAAAAAAACATTGATTTATCATCTTTGAAAATATTTCTTAGAGGTAAGTCCTTTGAAATAAAAGCCATCATATATATAATTTATATATATATAAAAAAATTGATCTCCATATACTAAACATTCTCTAACTCAGAGAGAAACATAACATACTTACATGCAGTCATATGCATCCCCTCTTCTAACAAGTAAGAAAAGCATAAGAACATAAGACAAAAAGAAGCCTGCTAAACTGGCTCCAGGGCCATTCTAGTCCAGTATGCCTCTGGGATGATCACATATCCCACTTGCGGGGTGGTTTCCCAAATCTGGAGGTAACAGAATAGACCTATTGTCCATGAATTTATCCAATTCCTTTTAAAACCAAGTTAGTGATCATTACCCTAAACTCTAGAAA